AAGCTCTGGGAATTGCATAAAGCTAATGACGGACATTTTAAGAAAGTAGGCATATTAATGAATCCTGAACAAGCAAAAAGGAGTGAGTTACGCATCAACATCGCTTACGATAACTTGGAAGTTAACGCTCTCAATAAACAATCGCGAGAAATGGACCCGGCATGGGGTGTCCCTTTACCTAGTAATAAACCAAACAGTACGGAGAGAAAAAATCAGATTATGCAGAGTCTCGCCAGAGGTCTCCAGTCGGGTAAGGTATATGTATTCGACATGAATTATAATGTCCCGACGTCAGAAGAGCGACAAGTTCTCAGCGCCGGCTTTGTGAGAAGCAACCTGGACAGAAAATCCAAAGCCTTTCTTTATTGGAATTCTCAATCGCCGCAGATGGAAGGAGAGACGAAGAATGAAGCTTGCTACCTTCAGGAAATAAATAATTCGCCGGATACTCCTCTAGATTTCGAATACACTTTGAAGAACCCACCAGTAGATAATGTCAGGGCTGAACTGCTATATGGAAAGAGGTGCGAGGGCGGAAACAAAGTTGTTATCGACGGCAAAGCAACGCGAAGTGATCAACTGCAAGAAATATTAGAGAACTCTGAAGCAGTCAAACAATGTCGGCAAGAGATTCAAAAAGGAAACAAATTAGCGCCAGTGTGCCAGAAGGCCATTGAGAGTGCCCAAGTGAGAGATCAGTACGACATTATAATTGGACCAGATGGATTTTTTGAAAAATTATGGGCCTGGGTTATAAATAACTTATCGAATTTATTGAAAAAAATTTTGAACGTTGAAGTAACAAACTCTAGAGCAGACACTGTCTCTATAAGAATAAATGCCTTACCTCTTATGGTAAACGCAGTACCAATGGCCTTCATACGCATTCCGAAACTAAATCTTACTTTCCCTCATCCTATGGAAACAACCATGAACACACAACAGCTGACTGAAGCAGTTGACAGCATGCTTCAAAATCAATTGGAACAAGGTGAGTTCAAATAAAATTTTGTAAAAAAAAAAATTAGAGTATTGTTCAAATATTGAAAGTTAAAGGTAATTGTACTGATAATATATCACGCGTTAGTTAAGAAAACAAATTAGTGTTTGAATAATAACGTAGAAGCCGACGTTCTATTGACTTTGTACGATTTTTTAAGTTTCCCGCGAGCGCGCATAAATATAATTATTATTATACTGGTTAAGTAAGGTAAATAATTTATTGTTCTATTATTGATTTTGTCACCTCGATAGATTGTATCTAACTGGGCAGAGGTGTATTACGAAATGTAATATAGATTATTTCTCTAAAAATTCCAATACAACATCAATGAATTCTTTTTCACAGATTCGTGTACTCTCGACGAACACAAGATCACGACTTTTGATAAGCGGACCTTCCCTGTGACAATGGGGGCTGTTAAGCACGTGATGCTGACCACGTATCCGCAACAGGATCCCGATAATCGCAAACATCAAATGACTATTCCGGAAAAAATGAGAGCGGCTATCTTAGCTGAGGATGGGGACTATGGCACCAAGAGCGTCACTATATACCTGGGCAACCATGAAGTTGAACTGTATAAATATAATAATCATCTTCAAGTTAAAGTTGGCGGACAGGTAGTTGAGGTATCACAGTACAAAAGCTATCAAGGCATCCAAAATGGTGAAGTCATTTATGAAATCTTCGTACTACTGGACGGATCGATCGCACTCAACTCGGACAAATATGGAATCCACGTCTTCTACAACGGAGAATATGTTCAAATAAGGGTAAGTAAAAATATGAAACAAACTAGTAAAAGTATATTAAGTCACTCACAATAATGTAGAAAGCGTAAGGAAAACTGAAATAAATTTACACAGAAAAAAAATTATATTCTTGATTTGAAAGTATCTTTAGATTCAACGTGAAAATCTTGAAATGAGATTACGTTGCGTTAAACAAAGAAAACTTGCTTGAATGAAGCCACTTATACAGTTCAACCAAAAAAAAAGAGTTGAAATTTTTAATAAGAAGATTATAGATTGTTGCGTATGTAAGTCTTCATTTGACACTTCTCTTTTTCTGTGCAGGTATCCGATCAGTATCGCAATAACATACGCGGTCTTTGCGGCAACTTCGACCGCAACCCCAGCAACGATTTCCTCACTCCTCAGAACTGCATCTTGATGAAGCCCGAAGAATTTGCCGCTACGTACGCTTTGCTTCAGGAGAATAGCCAAGGACCCGTCGTGGAAAACAAACGGAAAGCTGAACAAGCCCAGTGCCATGAGTTACCATCGGGACGTCATCTTATGAGAAACGTTATCAGCGACAAAGAAGCAGGAAGACAGTCGACAGAGGGCAAAAATTGGGGCTATCATCAAGAGAATCGCATGAGAGTTCATGGACAAAACCGCGCTCGAGATAACAAACAAAGTCCGGAGGTAGATGGCAGACCAGACAATTTTCAAGTGGGACAAAACATTATCTATCGCACAAAGGTCGTTGAAGAGGGTGACGAGCTTTGTTTCACTACCAGTCCTGTGCCAACATGCCGCGAGGGTACCGTGCCCGTGGAAAGAAAATCGAAGAAATATCCCCTTTATTGCCAGATGAGGAACGAAGAATCTACATCGCTAAAACGAAGAGTCGAGAATGGCGCTAATCCAGATTTGTCCCGGAAGCCTGCCACCAAGTCGCACGTTTTCCAAGTTCCGCACGGCGCTTGCAGCGCTGCGTAATCCGGCAATACCGAAATGATATACCGATCATGCATATACTTAATTGAAACGACTTCTTCCTTTTTTTATTTCTACTTTTTATAAAAGGCTGCAAATATGTGCTTTTAGTAATTGCAGTAATGCTAGCAAGAATAAAGTTGAATATTTTCAACATAATTATGAGTTGTATTCTTTTTGGCATATCCAAGCCACTCGAAATCGACATAATCGATTTAATATCAGCTTTATTTAAGATCATTATTAACTTTTATACCAGTAATCAACGCCTTTATCAGAACTACCGTTAAACCTTTATTTCAATTTCTCTAGATATACATATATATAGTCAAAAACTATTCGTAAAACTAAGATTAAGCAGAGGTAAAGCCAAACGAGTTTTGATTATCATGTCTTTCTTGTTATCTCAGCTAATTATCTCGACTATCAAGATGCTTCGCATTCAGTTTCTATATGGTCGTGAAGATTCCCAAATGTTTTAGAGAACCTAAAGCATAAAGCCTTGTAATCCCGCTTCACGACCAGTCGCTAATGGCAGTATCACGGTCTCGTATCGCAGCGTTCACAGTTATAAAGTGCTTACTTTGCTCGCTTTCTGTCTCGGAGTTGCTCCGCGTAGCGTGCGGCCTCCGCGAGTTTGCAATACATTTGCCTGTAACGTATCTTAAAAAACTGTGCATATGCATATAATATAAATATTCATATATTTTATATTGACTTCGTGTACTAAAAACTACAATTTATCGCCAAGTTCATTGTTGTCCCCGCATCCGTATTCTACTTTTCTCGTCGTATTTGCGCCATAAACACAAACATCACACGACTCTCAATTGAATTGATTGGAAAAGTAGAAGTTCTATATAGGCTATTCGAGATATAGCTATAAATATATGAGGTAGGTTGGTTGCTCAAATCAATATGATAAGAATTAGTTTAAATTTATGGAGAATATTCGTCTATGGGAATCTGTTGTTTATGTCAAAGTTGAAGACAACTGTCTGCATGGTTGTCGAGTAAATAATTATCGTCGCGTCGCGTAAATAAGTCACGGTCAGTCTCGCTCCGCGCGTACTTGTCGCAAGACACTACCGTGTCTCTTGATTAAAGTTATAATGCTCTTATCTCTCTCTTGTACACGGGCGACATGGCAAAAATGTTAAGACACCTGTAATGTATCTCGAAAGCATATTAAAAATGATAAGAATTTAATGAAAATACTTTTACGAAAACTGAAATAATTTGTCTACATATTTATCAAGAAATTGATACACGTACCTATTTGAGTTTCAATTGTGCAAACAACGATTATACAAACAACGACAAAACCCTTAAAAAAATAGCTAGTTAAATGCCTTCCACATATTTTTTTGCTAAAACTCGTTTATTTCACACGACGAAAATCTATAGGTTTTCCCCTGCCCTGATGCCGCCTGCCAGATCTTGTATCATGTATATGTACGATGTGATCATATATGGCAATAGATAACCATATGTGATTATATATGCTCTATACATGGCATGTAAAACTTATATCTGTTCATATCTCATTTATATATGTTCATATACTGTCAGATATGAATATTTTTCCCGGACATTTTATATCATTATATCCCAATCTGCTCATATATAGACAAATCTGATCATGTTTCATATCATTTCCGGCCGTATATGAACACATACAATCATATACAGCATCGTGTCTTGTCATATATGATCATATACAGTGCCGATACAGTTATGTATGGCCACATATAATTATATCTGATAATACATGGCCGAACATTCTTTATATACGCCCATGTGAGGCCAGATACGATTATGTATAGTGTCATATCTGCTACACATAATAATATGTCTGACCATATATGAACTTATATCTTATATGATCAGATCTTGTGCCATGTATAATGTACGATTTGATCATATATGACGATAGATAACTATATATGATTATATATGCTTTATATATGGGCATGTAAAACTTATATCTGTTCATATCTCATTTATATATGTCCATATATATATATATATCATATATGTTTATATATGTTCATATACTATCAGATATGAATATTTTTTCCTGGGGGTGCTTGCTGACGATCGAATGCTGACGATCATTCTTTTTTATATCGTTGAAATGTTTCGTGACGCGCGTTTTTAAGTAGCGTTTCGTTTGACCAATGTAGGATGCGCAGCAATCATTACAGTTGATTCTATAAACCAACTCAGTGGACTGATTTTTATCCAGATCCGATCCTTGCCCCTTTTTATGATAATATCTAATTTTTTGGGAACTGTGTAGACTGTAGTGAAACTGATATTATTAAATGTACGACTTATAATTCCGCTAAGGTCTTTAACAAAAGATAGTACAACGCATCGTCGTGGATCGAATCGAACCGGCGAGCTAGTAATGTCAGGTCTGTGTCGCAGCTGCTTTATTCTAATGTTGACGTTTGACGTGTTTGTTAATGAGATCCATTGGAAAAGAGTTATTCAGCAGTATTTTTTTAACCAAATCAATGTTCAAATCATGGTACTAAGCATCAGACAATAGAACTGAACGATCGACCAGACCTGTAATTGTATTCACCTTATATTTTAACGGATGGCTAGAAAAATAATTGGTGTATCGGCCAGGGAACGTTGGTTTTCTGTATCAATACGAGGTCAATCTATTTCAGTCCCTGATGACCAACGTACCGAGAAACGAGAGACAATTGTTGTTTTCTAATTCATAGGTGAAATTTAGTCGCGGATGGTAGCTATTAAACGCATCGAGTATGTCATTTACCTTTGACTTAGGGATGATAGCAAAAATATCGTTCACATATCTACAATAAAACGGGAGGTCAAAGTCAAGTGCACTAAGGCAATGGGTCTCCAAGTCCTCCATTACAATGTCAGAAGCTTTTGGAGAAAATGGAGAACCCATTGGACTGCCAAAAACTTGTTCATAATACTGTCCATTAAAACAAAAACCCGTAGAGGTCAATACCCATTCCACAGCGTGAAGAAATTGAGGTAGGGAGAATTTCGTGTGAAGAGAAATGAAATGCCAACATTTTTCAATGCCTTTAAGAACTAATTCTTAAAGGCCTTAAATTCCGTACATTGGTTAATCTAACTTATTTGACGCTGCGATTTTTATAATTGTTGTTTGTTAGATCACACACTTGAGAAGGACCCGAATCCTGGGTCGAAACGTCGTGTAAGCTTTGTAATTTTTGCCAATTAGTTGTCGATTAAATATACGTACCTTTTTGTTTATTGTCATTGGCGGAACAAACATGCACTTACATTTTGATATACATATATATTTAATTATATTATTTTAATATATATTATATCCGTTTATTTAATTATATTATACGTCAGAGTAAACAATCCCGGCATAATTTTCACTTTTAAGTACAATGAAAAATACATATATTTCTTCTAATCTGCAGCGAATAGACACAAGTAATTATACTTTGCGTAAGTTACAAAAAATTTACTTTCAATTACGTCGAATATTTTGATAAATTTCAGTATATTGATTAGAAAACAGTTAATTAATCTCATTCTCGATGTGTTTTGATCAATCGAGC